CAAGGACATAGGCAGACAAGGTTCTTTGGGTAAATCTGATATCTTTTATTAAACCTATTAAAATAGTTGGAAAATTCTTTGCAAGCTTGCGGGTGCAAACACCCTTTGTCAGGCTGAGGAAGCATCTGCAGTTGGTTAGTGCTCTTTCTGGATGAAATAGAAAGGAAGCCAGAGGCCAGTATGCATGTGAGAGCCAGTCAATGAAAATGCGAATTGAGGCAGTCAGTGGGTGAGGGGGGAGAGGGGAATGTAGACCTGGTGATAAGAATATAGCTGGTAAATATTAGAGATGTAACCTGGGATGTCAAATGTCAGGCAGGTTATAATGTGTCATAAATCCCATGTCTATATTTAGTCCATGATTTTTTGTATCCAGTAGGTTGATGAAGTGAAGTTCGTAGACTTGTTTGTGAAAGGTCTTATCTAAATTTCCTTTGAGGTTTAGAACTGAGAGATTGTGAGAAATGTGCCCCAGCAGATAATTGGGTATTCTTGTCTTTGATAGATTTTCGGTGTGTGTTTATTCTGCTGCGCAGTTGTTGTTTGGTTTCTCCTACATATTTTCCATCAGGGCATTTGGTGTATTGGATAACCAACACTTCCTCCAGACCATGGGCACAGCTATGGGCACCAAAATGGCCCCATAATATGGCAACCTCTTTGAGCCACCTGGAAGAAGAATTCCTCAGGACTGCACCATCAGACCCTTGCTATACTTAAGATATATCGCTGACATCATCATCATTTGGATTGAAAACCTGCAATCCCTAATTCATTTCCATCAGAAATTCAACAATCGTCACCCCTCCCTCACACTATTTCCTGAATATTCCAGCACCAACATTTCCTTTTTAGACACTATCCAGAATGGTAAAATACAGACCACCATACACAAGAAACCCATGGACCAGCATTCATATCTGCACAGAATCAGCAATCACTGTAAACACATCAAGAAAGCTGTTATATACAGCCAAGCCCTCTGATACCACTGAATTTACACTGAGGAGAACACCCATGATTGTCACCTCACAAATCTCAAAAGGGTTTTCACTCAGCAAGGACGCTTCTCCAGAGAGATGGATCGCACCCAGATGCCACATGAAGAATTGCTGCAGTACAAAAAGAAAACCCCCATGAATTGCACACCATTAGTTATGACATATCATCCCTCCCTGGAACCTATACCAGAACTCCTCAAGCAATTGCAACATATACAAGAAGACCCAATTCTTAAAGGGATCTTCCCAGAACCACCCATCCCAGCCTTTAAACAAGCACCAAATCCTGCCAATCTCATCACCAGAAGCAAACTTCCTATGGCTCAAAACACACCGAATGTATCCAGACCATGCCATGAGAAGAAATGTAAAACTGTACAACACATCTCCACCAGCCCTGCAATTACTACACCCCACAACAGAAACATCAACATTCCTGGATCTTACAGCTGCACCTCCAGAAATGTAATATATCTCATCCAGTGCAACAAATGCCCTGATGGAAAATATGTAGGAGAAACCAAACAACAGCTTTATCAGAATGAACACACAGCAAAAATCCATCAAGGGCAAGAATACCCAAGTACTTGTGGGGGCACATTTCTCACAAGAAAACCACTGTCTCTCTCCAGTCTCTCAGTTCTAATCCTCAAAGGGAATGTACACAACACCTTTCACAGACGAGCCTATGAACTATGAGTATTCTCCAGCACCGAATATTCTTGGAGTTAGTCTGAGAATCAGGGGGAAGAGGTCTTTTCTTCCTTTGATTCTTTTCCCCATCCCCTTATCCCCATCAGATAACTGATGCTTCTGTTTTCCCCTACTAGAGAAAAATGTAGTGCAGGCACCTTTGACATAATAGGGCAGGCTCTGGCTCCTTCCCTTATTTAGTCAGTTTAACTTTCGTCATTTTTTGAGAGTCTGAGGTACAAGCTTGAATGGGAACTCCGATAGTCCTGGGAAGATATCAGTTAGGCAAGAAATGAGGTTCCTAAGGGAGGATCTTTTATTTCCCTCCTCACCTGCTCTGACACTAGCTTGGCAATATTTATCTTTACTTAGGATGCAGACAGAAGTAATTTTGCAATGTTTCCAAGTGTAATGGGTTTGGAAATATCTCAAGGGTATTGTTTCAACTGAGGGTTGCACATACAGCTCTGTTGGTGCCCCCTAGCTGGAACTGTTCAAAATTGCCTTACAGGAGCCTGCAGCTACTTACAGCTCTGCTCCCTTCCCCCTCACATGGAGGGAAGAGGAGAGTGGAGAGCCTTGGAGGGTAGAGGTAAGGAGGAGTCAGGTGCGGGGGCTCCACAATGCTGGGATTCTGACACTCAGCACCAAATTCCCCAAACTTTTTCTCTCCCCTCTTAGCAGAGTGAAGAGGTAGAGGGTCCTGAGTAGTGTTGGGGGCCCTGGGAGTCAGCAGAATAGAGGTAGTGGGGGAGTCTCTGGTAGCGGGTCCCTGCTGCTGGGATCCCAACTCTTCAGTCCCTATCTCTGAACCTTTTGTCTCCCACTCTTGCTATGGGATTTGTA